ACTATATATATATATATATATATATATATATATATATATATATATATATATATATATATATATATATATATATATATTGGGAGTGAAGAAAGCTGACCTAGATAGCTGACCTAGACAACACACACTGTTGTCACTCGTCACCAAATACATAAATATGTAAATGTATAGATGCTGCTTACCTTATCAATGAACAGTTCGGATAGATGTTGATAGTAGTAACTTGATGGATCTCTCAGAGCATCATCATAACTTTCACCTCTTATCTTAATACTCAGCTCCACAATATGGTCGCTAGGACGTACTGGTCGGACCATAATGTCATCAATTTCATTTCCAATCTATATATATGAAAAAAAAGTAATGTTTAGAGGAACTCACAATTACAGAGTTAAAAATATACAGTATAGGTAACTAAAATGTCTTAAACAATTGTCTATTATAAATTCAATGTGCTCACCATGCTGTTTTCATTTAAAATATCATTAGAAATGTCCTGTGGCAAGTTTTGTAATGTGGTAGAGAAAGTCTTTTGAATAGTAGTTGTCAAGTCATTTAGTACAACCGTCATATCCTCGACTTTCAAGATAGGAGTTGGGATATCGTCTTCTGCAGGTTCTGGTTGGACCACATGCATGTCAGGTGTTTTAGGTACTGTCTCAGGCACCTCTGAAAGTTCAGATATTGACAAAGGTGTCTGAGATATGACCTCAGGTGTCTTCGAGATAGATACACTTGTCTCCAGTTCAGGTGCTTGAGATATAACTTTGGGAGCTTGAGATATGACATGAGTTGTCTCTGTCATGGCACCAGCTTCTGTAATGACCTTAGGTGTCTCTGTTGCAACTTCATGTGTCTCAGATAAGGAGTCTCCTCTGGTCTCATGCATATCTGTGATTTCTACTGCAACTTTGGGTGTGTCCTGTGGAATTTTTGATTTCTCTGTAACTTCATGTATGTCCTCATTTAGGGTTGTTGTCAGTACATCTTTTTCCAACTTAGTAGCAGTAAGATCTGGCATTGTGCCTTCAAAAACTTTGAAAAGTGTTTCCTCACCACCTTCATCCTTTTTAGTTGTGTCTTCTAACTTATCTTCCATACCTTCAGTTACAAACTCTACAATGTCAGTTTCAGGGGTACCAATGTCAAAAGAAGTATCAGGTGTGATCTTGGATGTGATTCCAGTTGTGGTCCGACTTGTGGTCTTAGTAGAAATTTCTGTTCTCTTAGTAGAAGTTCCTTCAGTACTTTTCTCAGATGATTCTTCTAAGATGACAGCTTCCGTTACATCACCCAATTCAACAGTCGCTTCACTTGTTCCTTCAACAAAATCTTCAAGCGTGTTTTCAAGAACCGTTACATCGTCTGTGGTAATGTCAAATTCAACCTCAGCAACTTCTGTTGGCTCTGTTGTCATCTCACCAGGATTTGCAATGGCAGTTATGTCCTTATCAACATGTTTGTCTTTCTCAGTAAACACAGTAGCTTCTGTAGTTTCCTGTGTCAATCTAGGTGTCTCACCAGCTGTCACATCAACAACTTCTGGGGTCTCAGTTATAATGTCCTCTTCCTTACCTAAATGATCCGCTTCAGCATCAAATGAGTCAACTATAAGCTCATGTGTTTCCTTTGACAATTCATGAGTACTCTCTGTCATGGTACCTGGTAGTTCTTCATCTGTTGTCACCTCTGGTGTAGGTTTAGTGTAGGGTGCCTCTTCCTCTTTGTCAAGTAATGTAACAATTGCAATGTCTTCAGGTCCACCCTCTGTTGATACTACCTCAGTGGATGTATTTACAGGTGTAGTGGGTGACAGAATTTCTGGCTTTGTGGTCACATGTGTGATTTCAACAACATCATTATCTGTCAGAGCTTTTGGCAGCCCTTCTGTGTGGGGATTAGGAGAAACCTCTTTCAGTTCTGTAGGAGTTGTCTGCGCTGGTTTCTCTGGTAAGACACTCTGAACAGGAGGTATTTCTGTAAGAGAGTCTACTGCATGTCTATCAGTAGACATCATTGTAGCTTCTGAAACATCTACATGCTGAATGGTAACAAGTGCTGATTTAACAGGAGTTTCACTAACACCCCATTCATCTTCAACCTCAGATTCGAAAATCAAATTTTCAATGGATTCTCTAGTGACTACCACAGGAGTATTAGAACTTATTCCTGGCAAGTCCCCAAGGGTTGTGGGAAGATCTGTCTCATACTTTCTCAAGGTGGAACCTACTGGAGTTCTACCAGTGGACATCAGTGTAGCCTCTGACACAACATCAGCTTCTACATATTGAATTGTAGCATCAGCTGATTTAAGAGGACCTTCAGTAACACCCTGCCCCATGTGCAGTTTAGTTACAGAAATAATCTCTTCAGTAGATTCACTGGTGATTTCTTTAGGAGTATTGGTACTTATCCTTACTGAGTCCTTGAAACTTGTGGGAATGCCATAATCATATTTTCCTGTAGTAGAATCTTCTGGACTTCTAGCACTTGTCATCAATGTAGACTCTGAGACAATGTCAAACTCTTCATGTGGAATGGTAACATCTGCTGTCTTAACAAGACCCTCAGTAACATTCTGTTTCACAGTAGCCTTCACAATGGCCTCATTTGTGAGTTCAGTAGGTGAACTAGTGATTATCTCTAGTAAGTTCTCAAAGGATGTGGGAAGAACATACTCATATTTTCCTGAAGTTGAATCTTCTGGAGTTCTATTAGTGGTCATTAATGTAGACTCAGAGACAATGTCCACCTCTTCATGTTGAATGGTAACACCTGCTGTCTTAACCAGACCCTGAGTAGCATCCTCTCCCATCTCCGGTTCCGATTCTGAATGAAGCTCTTCAGTGATTTGACTGATGATTACCGTAGGAGTATTATTGCTTATCCCTGGTGAGTCCTCCAAGGTTGTGGGAATATCATGCTCATGTTTTTTTGAATTATAATATTTTGGAGTTCTATCAGTGGTCAATAATGTAGACTTTGAGACAACGTCAGCTTCATGTTGAATGGAAACAACTGGACCATCAGTAACATCCTGTTCCAACTCTGTTTCTAAATAAAGCTTTCCAGTAAAATCATTGGTGACTACTGTAGGAGAAGTGCTTATTCCTAGCAAGTCCTCAAAGGTGGTGGGAATCTCATAATCATATGCTCTTGAAGTAAACTCCTCTGGAGTTCTGTCAGATTCTGAGACGATTTCAACCTCTTCATGTTGAACGGTGATATTTAATGCTTTGACAGGACCCTCAGTAGCATCCAGTTCGACCTCCAGTTCAGTTTCTGAAATAGGTTTCCCAGTGGCCACACTTGTGTGTTCTATAGGTGAACTAGTGCTTATCCCCGTTGAGGCCTCAAAGGCTGTGTCTGGCTCTGGAGTGACTCCAAGTGTCATCTGAAGCTCTGCAGCCATAGTGGTGATTAAGATTTGGTCTGCAGTGGTCTGTGGTGTGATATCCTGTGAATCTGTTACTGCCTCAAGAACCAGAACGCTGACTGGGTGAGGAAAAAGAAAGAAGAAAAGGGGGAAGTGACAGAAATAAAAGAAAATGTATGTCATAAGATGAAGTTACATCCATTAATTGCATGCTCTTATTTGTTTTCAGGACATCAGGGCCAAACATGTAGCCTATCGTTGAGGCTAATCCATGCACAACTAATTACTTACATTTTACTAAATGTAAGAACTCTGTCTAAGGATCCTGACACCGCTACTGCATTACAAGCTAATGAGTACCTAAAAAGGATTAAAAGTCTATTCTGAGAGCAGTGCATATCCTGAGCCAGAGAGCACTAGGTCTCTATTGATATGACTGCAGAGTCTCATACAGACATTAACAATAAAGATTAATCAGAGCATAACTTAAATCAACTGACTGCAAAATCCAGTAAATAGAAATAAGGCTTTCCAGGCTCATTAGGAACACAGATCCATTATTCAAGTGGCATATTGTTTTAAACAATGTAGTAAACTACTGTAGACTGACCTTCTTGGGTTGTGGCCACGCTTGCTTGTGTTGGTGCAGTAGTCGTTGTCTGATGTCTGCGAAAGAGAAGACAATTATAAATGCTTTCGAAGGCCAGGAACATACCCAAAATCTACAAAATCTAAACTTCTTACTGGCAACCAAGTTTAGTTCCCCCCCTTTAGGATATGAATTAAACCATAAACAGAGCTATGTCTCTAAAGCTAGTGGAAAGTGAACTAGCTTTAGCAGGGACTAAATGTATGACTGAAATTTCTGCAGTCTGAAGCCAGGGGTCTGTATCCAGCTTTTACTGTTAATAGGCGGTTTTGTCTGCAAAGCATCAGTGTGTGCTCTGAATTAGCTGCCTTAGCTGCCTTGCTAAGGAAGTGGTGTTTCAGATTATTCATTTAGTGTTAGTGTTATGTTACATATGATATAATCTGAGCTCCACACTGGACATTTGCAGATTGATTTATATTTAGGCTGCAGAGCAGAGCAGAGCACTACTGATTTGCACATTATGTTCTTTTATGCCCATGAGTCCTACCTGCATTCAGGTTGCCATGGACTGGTGGGTGCACTATCATAAGACACATATAGGAATGATTTGATTACACTGTTATTTTAGAAACAGCGGAATGTGACGTGGGTTCTTGTTTTTGTCTATATAGCACATTATTATTTATCCATTGAAATATGGATACATGTGTTGTGTTGACCAAGTTTGGTGGCAACTTGTGTGAGATGCAACAAGTATTTCCCTTCACAATATTATTATATTCATGTACGATGATATTAACATAGCACTTCATAGTGCTTCAAAGAAAACCATGGTATATGATGGTAGATGCTTATAAGCAGTTCTCACCTTGTTGATGTCATTGAAGCCGCTCCTACCCTCTGCAAAATACCATAAAAATGTGTTTGCTGTTTTTAATTTGTAAGAATTTTCAGTATCTTCTTTAAAGTGCTGATTCGAGAGTTATTTGTTCCATATCATGACATAAGCAAGGATACTTACACTTGAAATTAGAGCAAGGTGCTCAGCTGACTGGCTAAAGCTCCGGCCAATGTCAAACACGCTAACGCTACTATTTTGACATTTCCTCATCCAGATCTGGTACTCTTCTTTCTCAGGTAAGCGATCCCAAAAGATTTTGAAAGCCTCCCAAACTGTTTCCTGGCACACTGAGGCACACAAACAAATGCAGACAGATCTACAGATATCCCATAAGCATGCCAACCCATACAATAACACACACACACACAAGCTCTCAAATGTAGGAAAAAACAGGAACAGAAAAACAGCCAAAACATTGAGGAAAAGGTACCTATTTCTTTCTGAATATATTCTGACAAAGTATCAATAAAATAGTGTATAAAACAGTTTTTGTTTATTAGTGCATCGCTGCATTAGCTTTAGCAACATGCTAACCCCAAACTGGAATCAACAGTTAATTGCATCGTCAGAGCACTTTGTCATTTGAACAATGCACTTTGTAGAGTTGTTGTCTATGAGGGCACTCCAGAGAAGTCACTTAAGAGGTTCAATTTAATTTATGATGATGCTGCCAGTAAAGACAACAGACAGTAATGCAGCTCGCTAGGTTTTAAAAAAGAACTAGTGAACTATAAACAGCGTAGAAGACAAAATCTGCCAAAACACCAGCTATGAACTCTGCTGTAGTGGAAATTGACATCAATTTGAATGGATACCCCTTTCATTTAGAAGACAGAAATAACACAATTATTTCTTTATTTCTAAATTGAATAAAGAAAAAGCAATAACTAACATAATGGAAACATCTCTTATCCTTATCCACACACGTCAATTGGTCCAGACAAACGTAGTTTCTTTTATTTCTCAATTGTTGAACCAAAATTACTATTTTGGTACGTGTCGCATACTTTCTCAAAGTATCCTGCAAGTGGAAAATTAAATGCACAGATGGGGGATGTTAACCCTTGCTAAACATTTTGCGGCTCCAGTCGAAACGTTCCATCTACATCTGCCTGCCATACCGACTATGTATGACGACTACCAGAACTCAAGTGCGTAGGAGGGCAAAGGTCACAAGTTTTCCTGGCAGCGCGAAGGATCTGATCACCGTCAACAGTGATTCAGTAGCAGTGAGGAGTGAATGAGAAGCAATGAGGGAGAAACAGGGAATTCTGGCCTTTCCTACTGGAACGATACATGTTGACAGCATTTGACTTTAAAAGCTTTGTCAGACATCTCAAGCCTCTTGCTGACAGCCACGCCTTCATTATCTGCCTTAAAGGGACAGTTTACCTCAAAATAAAAATTATGTAATTATTTACTCAACCTCATGTTATTTGGATTCCATATGATTTCTAATTTTCCATGGAATCCAAGATAAGTTATTGAGTTGAATGTCTAGGCTACTGTTTTGCATACAACCAAAGTGAAAACATTTCACAAAGCATCATAATAGTAGTTCAAATGACTTGCACGCCTATATGCACTCTTAAAAAAAACAAAGGTTCTTTATTGGCATTTATGGTTCCATGAAGAACTTTTTAACAATCCACTGAACCTTTCCATTGCACAAAAAGTTCTTTAGATTTTTTTAAATGTTCACTAAAGGTTTTTTGAGGAACCCAAATATTTCTTCAATGGCGTTATTGCGAAAACACCTTTTTAAAACTTTATTTTTAAGAGTGTATGGTATTATTTTGCTTTAATTTTTGGATGAATTAATTTCTTTGGCATATAAAGTGGGGGAACACCAAATACTTAAATCAGTGTTTCACACAAATTGTATTTGTATTCAATTATAAAAATGCAAAAGACACGTTCACAAGTTGTCTCTGACTTTTGGACCCTGCTGTACATGTAATAAAGCACCAGAGTACCCTATAATAGGGTTCCGTGGCTAAACATAATCAACTTTCCACTGACACACTTTGAGAATAACCTTTATGTAAAACACTTGGTTCTCAAGTTTTCATAATTAGATTCACTAGGGTCATCTGGGTCCTATTAATGCAGCAGCGAGAAAGATTATTCTCAGCGGTGGTCTCCAATAGAGTTTAATACTTTGATTGCATCTAACTTCACAGGCTAATATGTGAACTTTAAAAAGAGCATGATGTGGAAAATTGTGTATTGAGCGTGTCTGAATATTTGTGCACGATTATAAGACAGAGACAAAGAGACAGTGTGTTTCTGACGTTTCGAAACCGTGGTTGAAATATGTGGTTACTTGGACGTTAATGGAATTGGTCAGGTTGGCTTAGTTTAATATTACTGATGAAAAGTAGAGAAGCATGAGCTAATTTTTCTCACATAATGATCTCAAAGAGCATCCATTTACACTACAGAAGTCATCTGCAACGTACTGTACCTTACAATTACCATTTTTGGCGACTATCCCAGAATCTCTCGAAAGCAACCGAAATGTCTGGTTCTTACCTCGCAGGTGAAAGTAGTTGAGATGATTCCGTATTGCCTGTTGCACTGTCTCATGTGAGCAAAGTTTAACTCCACTGGGAAACAGAAGGTCTCTTTTTTGTCTAGAAAGAGCTGCTTTCCCCTCACCAGACCAGGTTTTATCTTTTAATGGCACCAACGAGTGATTCAAAACTTCATTGGTGTCCAAAAAAGTTGTAAATCCATTTGGTAAATAATCCTCAGAATCTGATAAAGAACAAAGAACACATGGTCACAAGACTGCAGGCATCACAAAACTCCTCAAGGCCTTCATGTAGAGTAGATACATACCTGCATCTAGGGAAAAATGCCCGGAAAACAACAATACCAAAACCCACCAAATGCATTTAAAAGAGAAATCTGGCATAATGATTCCTTATTCCGGCACACTTTAAAGAAAAAGTTTCTTTAAGTTTTCAAAAGTAGTTTATTGACGGATGTAATTTGGGCATCCCTCCTTACAGTCCCAAAAACTTGTACATAGTTGAATTAATTAGTCTGCATTGTTACTAGATCCTTTCCTTGTCACGGAGGGATGCAATCACGTAGCTTTGAGCTGACGTCTCCACATGCAGCTTAGCAGATGGCTCTTTGGAAGATTTTTCTTGCCCGCTAATCCTGTTAGTTAATTCTTCTGAGGAAGCTTGTTGAGAAGTCAGTGATACTCCTTTATTTCCCACCTGTGGGATCCATCTGAATTGCCGAGACGTCCAATTTCAGTCCTGTAATTTGCGGGCTGATCCATTGAGGAGTTCAATTATGAGTGGCTTCCTTGCTGCCATTGTTTGCAATGGAATTTCAAGTTGCAATGATATCATTGATTAATTGTGCAATCTACCATGCAAGATCTCTTGCTAAGTGTTTGACTAGATGTGACATCCTGTAGGGTTAGCCCTTTGTCTACAAGTTTGCCACATGCTGTGACCGTACAGCTTACAGGAACTTCATCTTTACTGTGTTTTGGGTATTTTCCATCATGGCAAGGATCGTATGAACAGATGGCACAAGAGTGGGCCAAACAATTCCAGGTTTCGTAAGGTATCAATGGTTCGGTGGAGGAAATTAAAACCACAGCCGTTCATTCAACACATATTGAGTTGAATTAACTCTAAATTGCTGTTTGTAAAGGAGAGTTGTGCCGATAGACGATTGTATCGTATATCGACGATAGTCAGAGATATTGCCTATGGCCGATGCCTTTGACGATATCAAGATGATTATAATAATTATTATTATCAGTCTAGTATTATTATCTAATTAATATTAGGGCTTATTTGTTCCATCATATTTATTTTTTTTTTCACATTTTTACAGTGTTGCAAGTTATAACCAATCACACACGATGATTTTTTTGTTTGCGCAACGCTGACCTCATACGTCATCCTCCCGGAGCTGCTTCCATGTACAACTGTTGGCGCAAGCTACATTAAAGTGATTATTACGTTTTGAATATGGATATTTTTCTTACAAAAACGCATCGATTCGCTACAGAAGGCCTTTGTTCACCCCCCGGAGCCGTGTGAGACATTTTTTTATGGATGGGCGATTTTTATTTAAGTTCTTTTGGACTGAAGCATGCAACACCCGCTGAGTGGCATTAAACAGCTTGAAAGGTCAAAGACAATTTTTTATATAACTCCGACTGGATTCATCTGAAAGAAGAAAGGCATATACACCTAGGATGCCTCGGGGGTGAGTAAAACACAGCCTAATTTTCATTTTTGGGTGAACTAACCCTTTAAGCTGAACAGTCATTCTGGTAATAGACATTATGACAATAGTCACGGGTCCACTTATCACATCTTCTCACTTCAGCAGGAAGTTGTGTAAGCGTTTAGGTAACTTTGGCTTCGCCTGTGTATCAGTTGGTGTCCTGAATTAAAATAGCTTAGAGAAAGACAAAGGAAGGGTTGGAGCAGGTCGTCACGGCAGCATTCTAACACCTTGTCCTATTGAATTCAGATAGACCTATTTATAAAACAAGTCTTGCACTTTCTTTGTCTGCAACACTATGTCGAGTACAAAGGACAACGTTAGCGTCAGACAGTGACGGTGACATTTCAGGAAGGTTTAATGGTTAGAATTTAGTTATTGGATAAAATGGTAAGTCGTTGGACGCTCGCCCGGCAGAGATTTGGGCGATTATCCAGACAGTCAGATAAGCATTTAATCTTCAGTCACTTCCATTCACATTTACTGTACTCGGTTGATATTAGCAGAATATTTAGCAGAATTGATTTAGCAGAAAGCCACTTAAAGTTCATATGCACTTCTTAAAGAAGTAGTTCACCCACAATATGTTGAATGGAGATGTTTTGCGGATTTTCTGGCAGCTCTATTCCACACAATGAAAGTGAATGGGGATGCGGGCTGTTGAGTCTGAAGAAAATTTTTTTTTGAAAATGACTTTGACAAAAATGACAAAAAGGAGGTATTTATATATTTAAAAAGTATATTAAATGTATTGAATAAAGTACAAGCTAGCATTATTTAAATAAACAAACAAATACATGTCTGTGATGTAAATTATAATAATAACTAAAGTAAATGATCATAAATTATAAATTAATTTGTTATTAATATCAACAAATTAGTATTATTAATATTATTATTATTATATTACAAAAACAAGAATGTTTGCAGAAACTATATAATTTTGATGACATAATACTGAAAACTAATATTTAATAAATAAATTAATAATACAATATTTTTTTACAGCTATTACTGCTACTAAAACAAATATCTGATGGCTAAAACTATTTTTAAATGACTGTGATACAATAATAATAATAATAATAAATACATTATTATTAACTATTATTATTAGTAGTAATAATCAGCATCATAGTTTTCATATATTTTTACATTATTTCCTATTTTTTATTATTATTGTTATTTTATTAATACTAAAACAAGCATCTGATGTTTGAAGCTATTTTAAAATAATTTTGATGATGATGATGAGTCTGATGATGATGATAATAATAATAATAAAATTAATTCATACATTATGACTATTAGTAGTAGTAGTAGTAATCATCATCAATATATTTTTTAATTATTTAGTATTTTTAATTATTATTAATAATAATTATAAAACAATGATCTAATTGCTGAAGCTATTTTAAAGTAATTTTGATAATAATAATAATAATAATAATACAATTAATTAATATTTATATTATGAACTAATTGTATATATATATATATATATCTATCTATCTATCTATCTATCTATCTATCTATATATATATATATATATATATATATATAGCGGGACAGAGACA